AGTATGACCTCTGAAACGTTGGTTAACATCTACCACACTACAAAGCGGATCAACCGAGAAGACAGAATTCTTCATATGCAGACCTAACAACTCTTCTTGTAACTCGATAATTTTTATTCCGTATTTGCATCATCAGTTTACCTAACGCCTCGTATATAAATACTTCTGGCAGCAGTCCACCTTCCACAGAATATTCTTACTTAATGGAAATATTTTTAAGTTGTCCATCACCATTAATTTGGTTAATGATGTCTCTCCGCTTTAAGCTGCCAAATACCAAATTGCAGTACATCATAAACAATGTCAGTCAAGAATACGAAGGAATTCAAGAATACATTTAGTGCACAATTTCCACTTCGACACATCGATGAAATCGTTTGTAGAATGTTGATGCCCAACATAAAACCTATCCAGTTAGCATAGATTTACAGAACTATTAATGCCCTATTAATTAAATGTCATAATATCAAGCCTAAAAGCAACTGAAATCTATCAAGTTGCAGTTTTATTTTACGTAGTATAATGCTTCAAAGACTTTTAACGTTAATAAGATATATTTAGGTGTTTCCATTTCCTTAGCCACAACTGAAATTAAGAGTTACTTACTTCGCTGGAACTACTGATAGCCAATCACGTTTTATCCTCGTAGAGTAGGTGGAGCTATTTTCACTTTCCAAAGCGACAAACTGTTGCTGCTGCTTAACACACAGACACCTTCTGCGTTTCAAGAAACAATAATAGAAACACACGATCACTGAACCGTCAGAACAGACACAGATGAATCATCACTGTTTTCCAGCAGTGCTTCTTCTTAGATTCCGAGTCACAAATCACACCACGAAACAACTGAAATGGCGTCCGAGATACCAAACGCAGTGCGCTTTGTAAAAAACGTTCAAAAACTGCGAGGCTGGCAACTTTTTGTAACTACAAACACTTTCTGTATTTATAATACTAAATTAGCTTAAAAGCAAAGTATTTTGTTTGTAAAATAATAAATATATGACATACAGTTTACAATATTAATTTTCCAAATATTACCACATTCTTCAGAACGTTGGTCTTGACAGGGGCAAACAAATTAATGTTTATATTTCACACGTATTTGTCCCCACTATCTGCATGTCGTAGGTTCGTATGCAAAGTCAAAGTAAATATATTATTTTTATATCGAAATATAAGAAAGTCTGTCTCGTTCCTTGCCAATCGATTCATAAACCCATGCCCCCTATTATTTCTCAACAAATAATTTCACTCCACAGAGATCTATGAATAAAATTTTCACAGAATAATGTGTAAGGAAGCCCTGCGGTGGATCGATATTCTGTCCAAAGACTCCTGCCAAATTTATGAAAGGATTAGCAGCTTTAGTATTAATTAATCATGGATTCGGATCTGCTCCCAATCCACGATAGCGGAAGAAAAACAAGAAAATATTGCAAGGGAATGCTTAGAATGAACGTTTTCCATGTACGAAACAGTTTCCTCTCATTCTTCTATATATTTTTTTAATGTACTTTAAATTATTTCAGCTACGTACAGTGACAGAGCTGTTTAAATCGCAGTGAAACCATTATGTAACACTCCTCCCCCACAAAAACACATAACAATGCAGTGCAGACTGTGTGGCGTTCTCATGGAGCCTTCGTCTTGTAGCGCACAGTGTAAGATCAACCACGAACTGCCTTCGCTCATGCTAGAGCTCTACTAGGGAGGAGGGCAGCCAAAGTTTTCCAAAACGATGCACTACCATGTCAAGTTTAACTCGAACGCTTTGCTCGTCGCCAAGTTCCGACGCCTGCCAGACTCCTTGCCGTTGTCTTGCCTCGCCAAGACGAAAGGCTCTTCTCTCCGTCCTTTTCGCACTCTTCTACAATTTAGTTTCTCTTTTCCTCACTTCGATTCTCTCTCCAAGTTTATTGCGTTGTGCCTCTCTTTTCTTATATGTACAATTCCCTCCGGATCGCTTGCTCTATGTTAGTTTAAGAATAGGAATCATGGCAGCCACCGGAATACAATCCAAGAAATTCTCTGACATCCGGAAAACCTGAAATTCCCAAACGCACGCTCTATATCCGAACCGAAGGACTGCGTGTTTCGGCTAAACATTGAATTCCACTTCGCGAAGTCACGACCCATATATTAAACTCTGAAAGAAAACTTCACATAGTTTACTTTACATAAATATAAACAACAAACTCAACTCCAATGAACCTGAGATGGTGCCATAAACAAGGCCACGACCGCTTGTTTCACATTATTTCCAGTTAATTATTATTAATCATCCTATGATTCGACACTAGTCTGAGTTACGGATAATGTCGTTAAACAAACAAACCATTCGCTTTATATAGAATCCGAAATTTCACTGCCGCATCCGTTAGGTTCAGTAGCTGAATTTTATCACGAATCAGTTAAATCTAATCGACATCCACTTTAATATTATCCTCATCGCCCTGATGATGGATGCAGCAATGACCTCTGAAACGTTCGTAAACCTCTACCAGAGTATAGAGTGAACAAACCAACAACTATTAACACTATAATGGACACTATTTCCACACGCGTTTCGACCTCAAGAGGTCATCATCAGTAGCATCAGGGAAATTAATACATGTTTGTTCACTTTATACTCTAATACACTACACGGTATGCAAAGTTTTAAGATTTTTTAAAAAAACTTCTACCAGACTACATGGCGCAACAACCCAGAAAAGAGCTATCTTCAAACTCACCGCCGTGAAAACCTCAAATCCTGCAAGAATAAGATGCTTTTGAATTGTAACCTGGGTTGTAGCTCCGTGTTCAATTTTGGCTATGTACCTATATAACTGTGAAAAAATCAAATCCTACATCGAGAGAACGGTTCTTTCAATTATAAAGTTGTAAAAACTGTACTTATAATTATTAATCTATAGCATATGAACGACAGAGCAAAAATTGAATACAACTGGCAATCTGGGAGTCAAACCGGGACCCGAGATGTTCCGTAGCGCTGATACTTGGATTTCGCCTTTACACAGTGAAGTAAGAGGCTATCCGATTGTTTTCTTTTCGTGCAAGTCAGAAAGCCTGACCTGAATTTCACGAACCGATGTACGGTATGACAGTTCTGAGCTTTATTAACTTGTAGGCCATCTCTCAACAAGAACAAGGATTGCAACATCTTTTTACAAATTAAAGTTCCCTTCTGGGTTTATTTTAGATAAAAATCTATAACGCCAGTCTACCATGCGATAGAGGCATCTCATCATCTAACAAGTTCATAACACAATAATATTTTGGTGCTACAGCCTTGGCCTGCTTTATTGTTCCTCGTGCTTCAAACTAGAGCGCCATTATACAAAGCTGCTCTTGTTTCCTACTCTCCTTTCGGATCGGCACTTCAGGAACCTACAAATCTCTTGCATGCAAACTCATTAAGTAACAGTAATTACAGATTTATCTTTGAATGTGTGACGTTAGGCAAATAATTGTATTTAATACTAAAAGAAAATTAAAATAAACACAAAATAGACAGGAATGTTAGAAATAATTAAAATAATCTCGTTGAATGTTAAAAACAACTGGCAAATAAATACATTTATATTTATTTATTAGTTTTTTTATGATAATAAATAACGTGTGAATTGTAGAATTAATTGACCACGAATTGAAATGTCCAGATGAAAATAAACCGCGCTCTATAAAGTAGATTCACGTAGAAGGAAGCAGACTTGTTAATTGAAAAGCACCAGGACAGAAAATTACTGATTGGTTTAAGAGAATTCACAAAAAGCGTAAGTAATATAACTGACTTGCAGCTCGAGATTGTGATCGAAAAATCCCACAACTGTGAATTGCTTTACATCACATCATTTAAGACGAACAGAGGGTAGAAAGACAGAGAAAATGTAGGGGAAAGAAAAGAAGTAAAGAATAAGATACATCAACTGATAAGGACAAAAATAAATAAACAAAGAAAGGGAGGATGAGAGAGACAAGAAGTTTACCACTCTATTGGAAACAGTGACTACTACATAAATTTGAAGGTACAAATTGGAACTGTTCGCGGTTGCTGGAACTAAAGTAGGGATTTCACATAACGACACAGTCATTTTGAGACTTGTAATGGGCCCACGATACGCTGGGGTCAAATCGCACTTTGTACTTTTTTATGTTCATTAATTAAACTCACGAATATTTTTTGCCAGTCGCCACATATTCCAAATATACGTTCTAATTTTAAATTCCTATCAAAACTTCGAATTAACAGTGTCGACAGACGACAAAACTAAATTACAAAATAAAATAGTTTAAATGAAAACGTGTTGTTATGTAGTAATTTAGCGCATTGGTGTTCGCTGGATTCTCATCTCGTTCCTTTTCTGCGAAGGTAATGAAAGGGACTTGATGATGAACAAAACTAAAATATACAAATACCCATATTGTTCGCAACATTAATTAAACATTATCCCAAACCTAACAACTGAAATTGTTTACTCGATGTTCAACAGTATTACTTCACAAAATCGTGCTGCAAGTCTTACGGACATGGGTTTAGTTCAAAAGTTATAGAATATAAAATACACGTTTATCCGGTGTTCTCCGTTTCTCTGTGTTTGGTCTGGATGCGAGGCGATCACAATTGTGTTATTGTGCAAAAGTGAGCAATAATATCTAGTCAGAAATTGCCTACATAATTTCTCCTAGTGCATATTCCGACAAAACTAAATGTAGCCGACGTAACTTTATGAATTCGCACCTGTCTGCATGCTGACTTTTCGAAGAAATTGGTGTAACGTAGTATGATATCCCAAAATAGAAAAAGAATGACAAGAAATATGCACAACTGCCTTTTGTTTCTTCAAGATCCATTTTAATATTAGTCACCCATCTATAAACAGATCTCAAAAATGAACTCTTCCCTTGAGGTTTTCGAAGGCATTCCTCATCACTTGTAAGTCTGATACATGATCCACATATCTCAGAATCCTTGATCTGATTATCATGAAATATATGGCTAAGAAACTTTCTCATTATGTAACTCTCCATTTTACCGTTCTCCCGTTCTCCCGTTATTTCTTCTCTCATACATCCAAACACTCTTATGTTTTTATTTGTTTCATAGTTTTTAAACACATTTAATATTGTTCCTAACGCTAGGATGGTTTGCCTGAAATAGACTAGTAAGTCCGAAACACGTCTTCTAGCAAAATAAAACTTCAAGACATCTTAGATTATAGCATATAAATCGGAAAACACTGTGTGTAGACGGTTAATTAATAATTTTATAAACGTCCTCAAAGCCCTCAAGTATGCATGCTCTATGCTTAAACGTATGGACCATTTCCTACATCCATATAAGAATGAGTCTATTACAAACTAAAAAAATTAAGAGATATGAAAAATAGTGTGAATTGTGTTTGCATGCAGAAATACGTAAACACAAAGAATCATGTACGAGATAAAGTGGTGTAGTATGGTGTGAATTACTGAATTTTACACGAGTGTACTACAACGTGGGAAAATCTAAGAAGCACACTGAAGTACGAGATGCTTCTGTTCCAGAATTCATTACAACGACGATTAGACGATGATGTACTGGTCGGCCTGGCCTTGTTACGCAAGAACCTCACGTGGACGAGACAATGGAAAACAACTTGGGCTGTCGGAGGATGATTCATAATGCTATGGCAAGAATTCCGACAAAAGTTCGGTTAGGTTTCGTCCATTTCTTTAACAATTGCAAAATAATTTCCCTTCCTCTCTCTCTTATCTCTTCCTAGAGCGCAGCTTAGTTCTTTCTTTCTTTCTTATTCAGATGTGCTGCCATTACTTCTGTCTCTAGCGCCGTACAGCTGTTACGATCTCTCCCAGAATCTCCCGTGACGTAGTGCTCTCGCAAAGAATGATGGTCATGTCTACTTTATAGTTCAGCTTCGAAAATTTGTGCTCGACTCAATTTTTATTCCCTCATGCGACAATATATAAAAGGCAGTGGTTGAAATCGGTGGAGGGCGCTCTCGCGCGTTGTAACGTGTTACAAAGAATAACAACACAGCCTCTGGACAGCCATAACTGCTGCGATACAGTTTGAAGTGAACATGATCGTACATGTAACATTCTTCCATCAAAATAATAAAACTAAAAATACCAGCAGAATTTGTGGTTTTCAAAGCGGTGCATCCGAAGAGGGCCGTGAAGTCTGGTAGATATTTACCAACGTTTTAGGTCCTTCAGTCTGCATCATCGTCCTGTTGATGGAGGCAGCAAGGACCTCTGACTTCTTTTGGGAACTCTTTACATAATAAACATAATTCAGTTCGAGAAACAGCTGAGAAAGTAGTAGACATGTCGTATTCTGATTTGGAACAAACAACCCAATCAAAACAGGAAGTCAAGTAACAGCAGAGTACACGAGGTGATAAAAGTAATTTTCACACCGCTCACAGAAATTAAACTGGATCGAGCGTCTGTCATTTCATATCACGTTGAACACTCTTATTAGGCTTATAACCGTGCAGTGAATCAGGTTAGCACAGAACAAGGCGCAGCGAAGGACAACAATCAAATTGGCTTCAGCAAAGAGCGTCACAAAGATGCCTTAACTCTACACCGCTTGGAGTGCTGTTATCCGGAAGGAGGTCACAGCGTCCGAAACAAACCAACTGTCAAGGCTCGTTACACTATAACTCTATTCTACACTGCTGAAACGAATACAGTTCGCCCTACTACGACGACCACTTCTCCGACACCCTTCTGTAGCGCGCAGTATAATCGTCATACTGCAGGCGTAAGATGAGT